TTTCAATGTTGAATTAGCATCTATGCTAACTGTTGATCAGAAGCATTGATAGGTGTGTTTCATGTGGTATTTTGTACTTTATGTATAAATCAGTTTTTCTGTAAAACAAGCCACCGTCAAGATGATCAAAATGCATCGATAGTCTTTTTTTTTTTTTTTTTTTCAAATCTTAATCTCACTGTGAAGAGCCTAAAGATTCCCACTTGTCTTGCAGAGTGGCCAGTCAGGTGGCTGCGTTAGATCTGGGATACAAGGCCGGAGTGGACACCATCAGGAAAAACCCACCCAAAGTTCTGTTCCTGCTCGGAGCCGATGCCGGCTGCATCACCAGAGCCGACCTGCCTAAAGACTGCCTCGTCATCTACCAGGGTACCCGCACAGACACACACAGAGTCAGCGAACCCACGTTTACCCTTCCCCGTTCAGTTGGTCATTTCTGTAAATGTGCATTTGGACTCTCTTCAGGTCATCACGGTGACGTAGGAGCAGTGATGGCAGACATCATCCTCCCCGGCGCTGCTTACACGGAGAAAAACGGCACGTATGTGAACACTGAGGGCAGGAGCCAGCACACCAGGGTGGCTGTCACTCCTCCTGGGTTGGCCCGGGAGGACTGGAAGATCATCAGAGCCGTGTCTGAGGTCAGAAAAAAGTCCCGCCATCTTTACTCGACTTGCTGCTGTTTCTCCTTTTCAGGTCGTGTGATCAGAAGAACATTTAAAGCAACAATCTTTGTTTGCAGTTGGCCGGTGTGATGCTGCCTTACGACACTCTGGACGAGGTCCGAATCAGGCTCGCAGAGGTTTCCCCTAACCTGATCCGCTACGATGACGTGGAGGAGGCGAATTACTTCACACAGGCCAATGAACTTGCTAAGGTACACACAGTCAGGTTCTTCACTTTTAAAACACTTGAAGGAGTTTTGTTGTCCTAACTGTTCCCTCACTTTTCAGACCGTGAACCAGAACCTGTTATCAGCTCCTCTGGTGCCACCTCAGATCTTAGCAAAGGACTTCTACATGACTGGTAATTCTTTTAAATACGTTCAAACAACAATTGTATATGTTACCTTGAAGCCRTCCTCTTAAATGTGTTTTTGTTTTCCTTGTGTCCAGACTCCATCAGCAGGGCCTCCCAAACAATGGCCAAGTGTGTGAAGGCGCTTACAGAGGGCGCCGCAGCGGTTGACGAGCCATCCATTTGTTAAATTCTCCTTCCTGCCCTAAAACACAAACACAATTCTCTCCAAAACCTCAAGAGTCGCTCGATAATTTAAAGTTTTCCTAGTTACTTGTTGTATGCTTCTTCACAGCTTTACTGAACAGTGCTGAGGAATATAAATAAATAAACCTTTAAAGGTCTTTRCTTTGCTTGAACTGGGGTTCAATCATTATTAATTTTATGTAATTTACAGTTTAATTGTTAAGATTCTGTTCATGTGCAAATTAAAGCATATTAAAAGAACAAAGAAGATCAAACTCTCAGAATTYGCTTTTTTCAAAAAGAAAAAATACCTCTGTGGATAAATGTATAAAGTTCACACGAGAAGATGTAAAATAATGGCAGGTTGGCGTTCCTGGACTGTGATGTCTCTGATGGAGGACGGTATCACTAGGGATGAGCGAGTACACCAATATCTATCTGTTCAACCATCTAAATTATCTGTATATCTGTACTCGGAGTGGGCGGGGCCTAAACTGGATGTAGGTGTGGTTTAACCGGAAGTTGGCGGGGCTTAAAGGGATCCCCGATTAGTAACATTAGACTTTATTTGATAAACATATATTTAAACTGTAAAATAAAGACTGTAAAACTACTGAAACGGAAACTATAGATGGAGGACCTCAGTTTAGCTTGTTTATCGTGCTAGCACTGAGCTAATACATACAGTATACAGCAATATAGTGTGGGCGCTAGCGCAAAGGCTAACAGGCTAAGCTGAGGTTCTTCTTCCATGAAGCAGCTCTGTTGTCCTCCATCCATATTTTCAGTTCCAGGCTGAGTCATTTCTACCGGGGAAAAAATTAGCCAATTTAGTCAATTCTGACCAATAAAATCAGGATTTCGTTAAAAATGCTTGTTGTATTCAGATAAAATTAATAAAAGAATTAAAAGCAGATTAGAGCGCAGCAAAATCAGCTTTTGAGTAGAAGTCACTGAATAGATGTGGAAAAAGCTACAAGTCTGGTTATTTAAAGACAAATAATTGGTCTTGTTGCCAATAAATTTTATTGTAAGATTTTACTTTGTGATAAATTTGCCCTAATAATAAACAGAAAGTCTCCATCTATACCTAACAGCTGTGCCAGGGGGACAAATTTGCAAATAAATTAGTATAATTCTTGAACTGAAGTCAGGGGCCACACAAAATCAGTTCAGAGGCCACAAATGGCCCACGGGCCACACTTTGGACATGCCTGATCTAATACTTCACAACTGAGGGACAAACA